AAGTTTTTCTCATAGACTAAGCCAGAATTATCTCACATACCCCCTTTTTTTTATTAGTTTATAATATAGTTGGTGTGATAAAAAAATGAGGGAGTAAATTCCATAGGTGAAAACTTCAGTCTCTAATATTAATACAGTAATGCAAATCATAACATCTCATGTACTGTATGTAATCCATTCTGTAAGTTATATTTTCAGGTGTTGTTTTACCCCATCAACCTACAGTGTCTTTTCTACTTTTATTTATCCTGTGTATAAAACCGGTCAACCTTTGTGTCGTGGTAAGTTATTCTCTCTTTCAATGGTCCAACATGGTACATTCAGCAGAGGAAAACAACTTGTTCCCGGCAAGGTCAAAACAACAGTGACGAAAAAGCCGCAGCCTTTGCTGTCAGCCTCCTCTTGCAGGAGTGTTTCAAACCGGAATGAACCAGCTGCCAAGGAAGATCATGAGGAAAAGTCCTTGGGAAAAAAAGGACATTGCTGCCCACTCCACCTCTATCTGCAGCTCTATCTCTATCTGTTCTCCAGTTTAAGAAAAAACAGAGTTACCCTGTGATTGGGACAGATGGAGAGTGGCTGCAGAGCTGCTGATGTGACTCTGAGTCAGTGAGGATGATAAAGTAGTTCATGAGTAGTGTGTTCTCTGATGCACCTTTCTACAGGATGTATTAACTTAATAACTGCCAACATATCCCTCTCCACAAAAAATTATCGTTTGACTCTTGCAGACTGATTTCACATTCAGCCGAGGAAGAGAGAACATCCCTCTGTCTAAATGTTGAAGAGAGACTCACAAACGGGATTCTGTGATATCTCAAATATTGGCTACTGGTTGGGATCCAACAACCAACTAACACAAGTGTGATGTAGACTTGTTGTGAACTTGATGAAAACAGACTGAGAAGGAGACATTTCGTGCCAAGCAGTAAAACTGTGATGAGGGAAGGAGGAGCACAGAGAGACAATGATAGGGTTATGAAGATAGAGTTTAGAGTGCAGTTGAGTTTATTTGGCAGGAGGATACCATGTTTTTGTGACAAACTGGTAAAAATCATTTTTGTCCATGGGAAAGGAGAAATTGCACAGCCTGGTTGCATGGGTTTGCCAATAAATGTGGTTTCAAATATTACAACAGCTTTCGAAACACACAAGAAAAACCTGATCTCTGATGAATCTTCTACTGCTCAAACAGTTTAACCTGTGCAACATGTTTTATGGGAATGAATATGAGTGATATAAGTTGTGTAAAATGACATGGACATGAGGATTTTACACATCTGACTTCAATTTAAAATAGCAGTCATTTATAATCCCTGTCTGCAGATCATTTCCTGCTTTTGTCCGATATGTGGTAATATTGGTTATTCCATTGTTTCGAGGAATGTGCGGGCTGAAAAAGATGCTTAGCTCTGTGCCTCAGTGTGTGTGTGTGTGTGTGTGTGTGTGTGCTTCTATTATGTCACAGTGATGATGTGGCAGGTGTACAGGGGGCCCTCTGTCCCAATTCTCCCCCCCATCCATGCTGAACGTGCCCGGTCACACTGCACTGCCGAGAACCTCTGGATCACAGCGGCTTCAGGGCAGTGGGATTAGCTGGTGAGAGGAAACAGCTGAGGCCTGTCCAGTGTCAGCACTTGCTAATCAACGCTCCCACTGCACACGCATACACGCACGCCGCCCCCCAATCTATGCTCTCCCTCGATAATCCCCTCCTCCTTTTTTTTTCAATCCACAGGGGTCAGTCACCCACAAAGGCCTGTGCCCACAAAAGTCAGAGGGGCCCAAAGGGAAGGAGGGGACGGGACAAAAGCAAACTGAAGTGCTTGCTCAAAGCTGATGGGAAGGGGGGGGGGGGGCTGCTGAGTCATCACTGATGCTGCTTCAAACTGATTATTTGCACACAAAAAAATCCACAGATGAGAAGTTGATGACTTGTCATTGGTCGGTTTGGGGTCAGAAGCAGTTTTCCTCTTTCTGTACCTTGACTCGTGTTTATGCATCACAGGATGTTTGGAAATCAGATCACTGCCAGCCTCAGTTATGCAACAGTGACGACTTTCATGCTTTTTGTAGATTATTCTGTGCATTGCATTCCAGCTTGACCGATACGAGACACATAGAACACAGTATACTCATTCACAACTGGTATGATTGAATTTGCTGAGCTCATTTGCTCATGCATGCCTGTAGTTAGCTTGAAAATCAATTAGTGGGCTGACGTAACACGCCAGTCGATACACTACGAGTTGTATCGACTTGCTGCTCACGAAACAGACTGCTGACTGTCATAAATGGGTCATGTGAAAAAAAAAATTTAAAGATGGGATAGTGCAACCTGTGCAAGTTAAATATTTACTGCAGTGTAAAGCAAATCAAGGATTTTAGAAACACACGATCGTATAGATATTAACAGAGTTGGGTCGCATTACTTTGAAATAATCAGTTATACAAATCCATTGGATGACAAAAAGTGTTAACTTCTAGAAAATGGACGCAGACACAAAATGTTGAGTTATCCAAATCTTCATTTTTCTTACTTTACAAAACATTTCATTTCTACATTGTGAGCTAAGGCTGTGCCATTTGCTGATGTGCGCTTGTGGTGAAAATAGTTGAAAACAAAATTCAAACTAAAGCACAAAGGCTTAACCCAATTTAAACCCATCTAACATTCTTTTTCTTCATGACAAAACTTTGCTCTGATATTCAGACTCAGATTGGTAGTATTTTGCTGATCACAGCAACTTCATGTTTGGTTTGCACAAACAGTGCAGAGGACATGTTCTTGTGTTGCAGTGGTGCCTGATCTTTGAAGGACTGCTCCGTCTTGACTCAACACTGCTCCTTTTACTTTCACCTCACAGTGGAGCATTTATGTTTTATGTGCTTTTCATTAGTTCATAGACTTGTTTATCATGAAAAAGCAGGAGCGATCAATAAAGCCTGGGCTTTGTTTTGCTGCATGTTGACCTGTAGCTGTGGATTGTCTGGCTTGTAGCCATCAACTCATATCAGGTTCACTGTGAGTTTCCTAGAGAAGGGTGCTCTGAATGATTCTTTTCAAACAAGATCGCTGTTTTGCATTTCTATTCTTGTAACGGAACTCTGAACAGAATGTCTGTCAACTGTGCATGTAGCCTGTTGCTTCACTGGTTTTTCTGACTTTTTTAAGGTTTTTTCGCATTTCTTAACTTACCAGCAAGGCCTTGTGCTGCCTTTCCCCCACCTCTAGGGGCACTGTTGTACTTTTTTTCAGTGAATCCCTATCCAGAGAAGAATGACCCAAATAATATAGGTTTCCAGGGTAAATCAAAAGAAAGTTTGTATCATTTGTTTATCCTTATGCTTGATCTCAGTTGAAGAGATATTTTGTTGTGATTCTGTCGAAAATTGTGTGTGATATATATCTTTACAAATTCTATTTCACATACGTATTTGTATTCAATGTTGTACATACAGTCAGATTCCATTGTAATTTTGAACAAAATGTTTATTCAAATCAAAAGGAAGAACTAGACAAAAGGTAAAATCATTCAGAACATAGCATATTCATAGAATATCTATACAACGTCATGATTAACAGACAAAAAAAAGACAAAAACAAACATGAAAATGGAGAATGAAGAAAAATTCAGTGAGTAATATTGCACTTTGTTTCTAAAATGTTTCAGATCCCGTCTCGTGGGTTCTTTAAAACTCTGAACATTTCAGTTCCTGCCTTTAAACAGACCAGGAGTTTAGCTTAGTTTTGACACTGGACTACTCTGAGGCCCAAGCAAATGGACTATGGAATCGACCAACCTGAAACAACTGTGTGAGCTTATTCATCACAGCGTAGCTTGATTCACTTTTCCCTAAGATAAGATCCAAAAACAAAGAACTGCAAACAGAACAGAACAGGATAGAACATGAGTGGAAGAAGCAGGTTGTCTGCTGTCCCATGTTACCAAAATGTTTCAGAGTTTGGGATGGGGAGGGGCGCTGGTCAACAGCTGCCCCCCCTGGGGCCTGGGGGGGGGATCAGAGGTCAGGGAGACTAACCCAACAAGGTTGCTTGTTAAACTAGAAAGCAAACTATATCAATGCCCAGAAATACATGGAAAAAAATAATGTCAACCCTCATCAGCCTCAGAAAATTAAAAACAATTGAGAAACCTGTCCAGGATGTCTT